TTTGTAAACGGTGATCATATCGCCTCTATTCTATCTTCTAGTTTTGCCATGTTTAGCGCCTCTAGTCTCTCCTCGTAACTCTTATTGTTCAGTTCCAGAAGCCATTTTGTAGCATGCCGCTGCACCATTTCCAGTTTCTTTATGTGCTTCTTAAGGTTTGGTCACCATACAACTGCTGCATATTCCAGTTTTGGTCTCACAAAAGTCATGAACAGTTTATTTAGTATTTCACCATCCATATAATTAACAGCAAGTCTCAAGTTGGAAAGCGACACATCCGCTCCTCTCACAATGTTCTTTATGTGTTCCTCTGGCGACAGTTTACTATCCAAAACCAACCCCTCCCCCCAACCATAGGTCTCGTTCTTTATTAGAGTTCTGTAATTCCTTTCCACATAATTTGTAAATGTGTGTGTGGTCTATTTTCTCCGACTCCACATTCCATAACATGGCATTTATTCACACTGAATTCCATTTGTCACTTGACGTTCCAAGCACTTAATTTATCTAGATCAATTTGAAGGGCATTACAATGGTCTGCGTCTCCTATCTTCCCCAGTATCTTAACATCATCCCCAAACATGTTCATATAATTCTGTATTCCTTCTGGTAAATCGTTTATGTAGACGATGAACATTACTCCTCGGGTCGGGCTTGGGGAGTAGAAGAACTCCCAGAACCCCATCAAGCAGGTACTGGTACAAGAACTGAACCCTGTGACCAGTCCAGCAACGAGGAGGCCTGGTCGACGACCGGGCCGCGGGGTCGCTAAGCCCCGAAATCATCTCAAGGTAACCTCAAGGTAAGGTAAGGTGTGGTACTCCGCTAGTAACACTCCACCAGTCAGATATATTGCATCTAATTACTGCCCTCATCTGTCGGTTAGATTTTTTTTCACCTATGTCAGAAGTCTCCCTGTCCCCCTGCAGCATGATCCAGTTTCCAGAACAGCCTCTTTTGTGGGACTCTATACAAAAAATACTATTTTAAGTTGAGATAACCACAACCCAACCAACACTTTCCCGTAGTATCTCTGTGGCTCTATCATCAAAGCTAAGTAGATTTGTTACACAGGATCATGTATAATACACACACACACACACACACACACACACACACACACACACACACACACACACACACACACACACACACACATTACTATTCAACTATTCAACACTGGCGGTACGCGAACAAGGGGACACAGATGGAAACTGAGTACACACATGAGCCACAGGGACGTTAGAAAGAACTTTTTCAGTGTCAGAGTAGTTAACAGGTGGAATGCATTAGGCAGTGATGTGGTGGAAGCTGACTCCATACACAGTTTCAAATGTAGATATGATAGAGCCCAGTAGGCTCAGGAATCTGTACATCAGTTGATTAACAATTGAGAGGCGGGACCAAAGAGCCAAAGCTCAACCCCCGCAAGCACAAATAGGTGAGTACACACACACACACACACAGAGGCCTCGTGGCTGAGCTGACAGCGCTCAGGGGTCGTAGTTCTAAGGGCCCGGGTTCGACTCCAGTCCGAGGCAGAAACAAATGGGCAGAGTTTGTTTCACCTTGATGCACCTGTTCACCTAGCAGTAAATAGGTACCTGGGAGTTAAGACAGCTGCTATGGGCTGCTTACTGGGAATGTGTGTACGTGTGCTAGAGAGAAAAATATGTAGTAGACACAATAGAGGAAAAACAGATTTATTAGAAAGGTGGGTTCCAAGAGCTAATAGCTCGATTCCGCAGGCACAAATAGTAAATACACACACACACTCCATCTCAGGAAGGATTAACAGGGCACCAGTCCTCAACTGTTCGCCGCTGTTCACCCAACAGTATTTTGCGACCAGATTGTAAACCGATTAGGGGCCAGGGAAAACTAGTAGGCATAAAGTTTACACCTGTCCTCTTAAAAATAACGTCCCTTTTGCCCGTTTGCCAGTATGGCCGAATATGGACGGAATTTGAAAACTAAAAAAAATGAATATAAATTTGGGATATTTTTTTTTTCAACAACAGTATGTTAAGGGTCCTCTGATAGGTTAGGTGGGCAGGAAATTCTCATAAAGTTTCAAAATGGTATGAAAAACGTTAATGGAAAGTTGCCTCTTCTAAGCTGGCCGAGTAAGCCGGACGACTCACCATAGCCCGTGCTACTTGGAACTTTTTGTTCCAAGTAGCGAAACAGAAAACGGGACAGTACGTCACTTTTGTGAGTCGATTTTATTTCAAATTACGTCCAAATTTAGCCATAGCGCGCATACGAGCGAAAAGTGACGTTATTTTTAAGAGGACGGGTTGACCATCAGCAATGAGAAGGTGGAGCTAGCTCTCAGCCTGGGGAGGGGGGTGAAGGAAGGGGGGACAGGACAGGGCATCAACCCGCGCCGCGGCCAACAACAAGACGGATATAAACAGCGTCCCGCCAAATTTTTCCCACTTACTTTCAGGGGCACTCAAGTTCACTTCCTCGCACCTTATCATTCATTTCTCGCTAACGCAGTCACTTGATGGTAGAGTAACGTGTATTAATACTAGCGGATCATAGGCTTAGTTGCCAGCGCCGCTGCTCGCTGCAGCTGTTTGCTCGTTGAACTTAAAACTTCCCACACAAAATTGTCTAATCTTAATGTTCTAAACTGACGCTGCAATAGGCTACAATTGTTATGGGCAGCTTTTAAGTGATGACATTTACAGCTGGACTACACGAAGTATTTATAACTGCAGCTGGAGTCCTGGAATACAAGGTGGCCAGAAATCAGAAATGGAATAACAGCCAATTGGCTGGTGTCTACAGTGCACCAGGACCCGTGGGGGATCACAGTGACCTATCACCACAACACAATCTTCCACAACGGGGCAGATAACCCACACAAGCAAACACATCACCGTGATAAATCTGGAGTCAGGACCTCATATTCTCAAACGCTTTACAAACTGTTTAATTATCTCCAGCATATTCTCCAACAACAACAACAACAACAACAATAATTGGCTTCACCCCTTCTTATTCTCCAACAAATGAACCTCAATCTAGACCTCCTAAGCGCCTGATGTCAAGAAGCAATACAGTAATCTGAGCTCATTTTGGCTACGAAGTGCAGAAGACGAAGAAAATATGTAGCCTATCTTGCATTAGAACTTCTGCCTCTATCCCATTTGTTGTGTGAGGGTAAACGGAAGAAAATATATTGGCAATCGTGTGGATCCTGTCCTTTTCTAAAAGTATATAAAGGGAGCAAGTAAGTGTCAAAAGAAGAGGACAAGAGTTGACACAGGGATAATACAAGTGGGTGTCACGTGACTGTTGGCAAAACCAGTACGTGGTAATGAGAATGTGTGTGTTGTTTTAAGATTCGCTACCTGGAACAAAAAGTTCCAAGTAGCACGGGCTATGGTGAGCCCGAGATGTGTGTATGTTGTGCTTTTTGTAACATGGGGATGTATGTTAAGGTAGTTTTGTCACTTATCACATATAATCAATTATAAAATAGTATTTTCGATGTAATTTTGCCCTAAATGCTATGCGTATTAGTGGCTTTAGGTATTTGTATGTACTAGCTCTGTCTATAAATAATCAGAATTTTTGTAACTCTGCATCTATGTATGTACTTTTCCTAAATAAAATATCATTAATATTATTATTATTTTGGTATAGAAAAAATAAGTAGGTAATTAAAATGTCATAAATACAACCTGTCCTCAGACAATCGTCAGCTCAAGGGGGCAGGCAATGACTACATAGTTCAGCCCATCCTCCGAATAGACATTACGTTTTAATACTAATTGTAATAAGTACGAACCTGAATATCGGCATAGTACATAAATACACTTAATCGCCAGCATCGCACCAAAATATTGTGAATATTAGAGTTTACCTGAAAAGCTGTATAGAAAACCACGACCTAACCTAACCTTGGGAGTGTAGGAGGACAAGCATGTAAATAACATTTATTGCTCCTTAATTACAATTAGTACTTAACCTATAGCTATATTGATATTACAATTTTATAAAACTAATAAACAAAACTAGTCTTTCAATAAATTATAAAGTAACTCAGGATATTTTCAAATTTTGTATAAAATCTCTATTGTTTAATAAAACTGAAAAGGAAATTCTTTATATTTAAACCTTGTGTATATAGCATTGAACACGAAAACTTCAACCTAAAAATTTTGAGTGTATTAACAGAAAATGAGAATATATGGGGAGGTAAATGTAACAGCACAATTAAGTGTATTAATGTACTATGCAGACAGTCAGGAATGTACTTATTACATTTAGTATTAAAACGTACTGGCTATTCAGAGGAAGGGTTGCATAGTTGGTGCTATTTTCTACCTCTGTTCATGGTTAGGCTTCATCATGTTTAGTTATGTTAATACGATGTATTATTGACGATAATGTTAAATATTCGAAAACTATTCAAGTGTACCCGAGAATTTCGTTTATACAAACCAAATTCTTCAGGGGAAAAAAAAAAAAGTTTTCGGCGTACATTTTTTATATTTTAAACCAACAATTTATGAAACATTAAAGTTATAACATGAGAATAATCTCTGGTTAGGACAAAGGTTCGCTTAATAGTTTACAAGCAGACTATTACTGGAACCGTAATATGCTTTCAGACCAGTTTGGAGGTTTGCCAAGGCTTCTACGGTTTCTACTTTTTCTTTCTACAGTTTTTATTAAAAATCCTAATGTAATCTACAAGCATGACACGGTACTATGTTTAACCAGAATATATTTTATTACACTGCATTTATTTATTAGTCAGACCATTAATTATGCGATTATTTCATACCGTTAATGATCCGGGTTTTCCTAGAAAACAGAATAGCATCGGTGAAAATATTGTTCATCCTGGGAAACAGCAATTGGCGAGAGTCAGGACTGTGTTCGTCCTGTGTTAGAGAGCGGAAGCAGGTGGGCAGCACGTGGCACTGTGGTGCCTCGCTTGTCACGTGGTCAGCGCCAGCCACGGCCTTCCTGCTGACTCAGTGGCGCTGGGTGTGAGGTGTAGCACCTTGGCACAGGGTGTAGCACCTTGGTACAGGGTGTATGGCCTTGACACAGGGTGTAGCACCTTGGTACAGGGTGAAGCACCTTGGCACAGGGTGTAGCACCTTGGCACAGGGTGTAGCACCTTGGTACAGGGTGTACGGCCTTGGTACAGGGTGTAGGGCCTTGGTACAGGGTGTAGCACCTTGGTACAGGGTGTAGCACCTTGGTACAGGGTGTAGGGCTTTGGCACAGGGTGTAGGGCCTTGGTACAGGGTGAAGCACCTTGGTACAGGGTGTAGCACCTTGGCACAGGGTGTAGCACCTTGGTACAGGGTGTACGGATTTGGTACAGGGTGTAGCGCCTTGGCACAGGGTGTAGGGCCTTGGCACAGGGTGAAGCACCTTGGCACAGGGTGTAGCACCTTGGTACAGGGTGTAGGGCCTTGACACAGGGTGTAGCACCTTGGCACAGGGTGTAGCACCTTGGCACAGGGTGTAGGGCCTTGGCACAGGGTGAAGCACCTTGGTACAGGGTGTAGGGCCTTGGTACAGGGTGTAGGGCCTTGGCACAGGGTGTAGGGCCTTGGCTTAGGGTGTAGCACCTTGGCACAGGGTGTAGGGCCTTGGTACAGGGTGTAGCACCTTGGCACAGGGTGTAGCACCTTGGCACAGGGTGTAGGGCCTTGGCACAGGGTGTAGGGCCTTGGCACAGGGTGTAGCACCTTGGCACAGGGTGTAGGGCCTTGGCACAGGGTGTAGCACCTTGGCACAGGGTGTAGGGCCTTGACACAGGGTGTAGCACCTTGGCACAGGGTGTAGCACCTTGACACAGGGTGTAGCACCATGGCACAATGTAGCGTCATTAACCATGGTGATATAATAATATTATTATTATTATTAATTTTTATTCACAAGCGGGTACAATGGGTTTGTGAGATTACATATGACTGGTATTTTTAGTCTCACAAAGCCACTAACACGCATAGCGTTTCGGGCAGATCTAACATATCAGGTAAGATGAAAATGTACATTGTAGCAAAATTTTATATCAACATATAACTACAATATAAATTGACAGAGGTGATTACAATGGTGATTACAATGGTGAAGATATATGTCTTAAGTACTAATATTGGGGGAGTGAGTAGTAAGATACGAGGTAGGAAACTATGAGGATGAAATTAGGTACTTTTTAGTTTTACTTTTGAATAAGGCATAGGTTGGAAAATTTGTTAATTCATTAGGGAGTGAGTTCCATAGACTGGGTCCTATCGGTTCTGGTCCTACTGCATGTACTACAGAGTGGTGAGTGCTTATGTGCCCATCAACACGAATTATTTGCTGAATCTTGATCTTATTTATGGATGAAGGTGGTGGGACCACTATCAACCCGGGCTCCAGCTGATAGGAACAATAAGTAGGCTCTAATTGATAGGTATTTGCCCAACTCAAAGTAGACAGCTTAATTATTTCTGACTCCCTTTCCCCACTACTAGCAATAAATAGTTTGCAATCGAGTAATAACGTGCTTGTCTCAGAAGCCAGACATAGATATGTAAGCATACTTAACAAGAGGGTAAATATAAAAATGTTGTAGATTCCTTCTCACATTGGCATGCAGGAACATGATAAAGTTGACGCCCTTGTTAAGGCTGCAGTAAATAAAGACAGTGTTGAACGGAATCTTGAGTTATCAAATAGGTCCTTTAAAAGTGTCATTAGACGAGAACTCTTGGATGAATTTAAAGAAAGCAGAACAGAGTAAACTGAAACTGGCAAGTCCATTGTTCATCACAATGAAATGTGTAAAATAAAACTGGGGGGTGTTGTTACTTGCCCAAGTAACATCAGCAGACTAACAGACGTTGTCACAGTTCGAATGAGACATGGCTACAGGTATCTCTGGCAGTTCGGCTTGTATAGGGATCTAGATGAAGTAAAGTGCTTTGACACACTGTACTCCACTTCATATAGTCTAGGGTAACTGCATTAATGCAGATGTACCTCATGTATTAATAAAAAGAAAAGTGCAAAGTGTGTGGACAAAGACAGGGACACACACTAGAGAATTGTATCTTTGACTGTAATAAATTGAGCCATTTAGAGATAAATCCAAACTGATGTTGCATGAAATGGCAAACCAACTATTTACCAAGGATAAAATACCTGAAATCCTTGCACTGTATCCATATTTCGCTTCCAGTAGATAAACGACATATAAGATTAAGAAACAAGTCGTGTATTGTGAAGACTAATAATAAACAGCAGCTCCCCTATGACTCTGTAATATCTCCATATCTCATATAATTAGGTACAGTATTAGTATTAAGACCTACAATTAATGTATAATGATTAACTGTAAAATAATAGCTACTGAAATAGAACATTCTCTGTAACTAGCGGACATTATAATTATAAGGTGTGAAGGATAGATGAAATTGTTAATGTAATAATCTCCGTTGAGGTCTGATAAAGACCTTTTGTGCTCTCTGTAATCCTTTTTGCGCTACCGCTCACAGGATGAGTATGGTATGCACAATAAACTAGCAGCCTTCAGCGGCAACAATGAATCAATCAAAATCACTGGTCCAAGACAAAAAGGAGAGTTCAATCCCACCAGGCTAACAAAAACACAACGAACCCCTCCTATACTCTTCCCGGATTGATGTCTTCTTTTGGTAATCGCTTCCTATAGCAGCAACAATAATATGAGTGTATCAGAGACGTGATCCAAACAAAGAAGCATCTTATGAATGGAAGTGTGGAGAATGTGAGCGTTAGGGCTATAGGGAGCAGTATGATGTCAGCAGCGGGCGAGGGGCTCCGGAGCTGTGATTGGCTGGACCGTCCATCGCGCGACATCGTTCGACAGATACAGAGAAATTTGACCAAATATTTACTCTTCTATCTCTCTGGATATGTAATAATCTGCTTTTATCTTGGACGGTTGTACCATCTGCGTTTCCACCTAGTGAGGAGTCTTTCTGAGATAGCATCAACTACTCGTCTAAATATTTACTTGTAGTATGTGTTTAATTCCTTCCGCGGGCCGTGAGCTCCAGATGTTTTGTCCCGTCTCTCAACCTTCCATCATTTGGGTACTTTGCTTCTACTCGAGCTCCATTGTTTACATAACATCCGTTCTATATTCAGTAATCTGTCCATATCTGCTAAGTCAGTTGCCCGCTGAATTTTGTATGTGGTAATCATGTCTCCAAGTCTTTAATCTTCCAGTGATGCGAGGTTAAGTTCCTTTAGTCTTTCTTCATAAGTCTTACATCTCATTTCTGTTACTAGTCTTGTGGTATATTTCTGGATGTTCTCCAGTTTCATTGTATTCTTAACTACAGGGACCTTAATGACTCCATATTCAGTTTTCTAAAGGCAGATTTTATGCTGGTCAACCATGCACATGCAGCGAATGATATCCATTTGATGTAGGCTTCAGAAGATAGGTTGGAATAATATGAGCCTCCAGGTCTTTATTTCTGCATATTTCCAGGAAGATTTTCTTTCCAATGTGGAATAGAGTGTCCGATCAGCTATTGCCAGCAAACATCTTCATTACTTTGCACGTGCACGAGTTGAATTCTAGCAGCCACTTGATGGACTATTCTTTCAGTTTGTCCTTATCTTATTGATTCTTGCAGTTTTTCACCATATTTATCCTCAATATAATACACATAAGAGCTGGAACAGGAAACTGGCCGCTCTTGAGTCTTTAGTTTACCTCATGAGTTCCTCACCCACCCCCTTTAGGAACTTAAGTACACATTTACCCAAGGGCCCAGGGGTCTCAGAGTCTATTGTTACGAACCTGTAACAACGTATCAGGTCCCTGTACTTATTAGTTTTCTGGGTCTCCCTGAAGGTGGAAAATGCCTCCCTCAGCTGTACTGTGAGGTAGATAGGTATCAGCTATTCATTCAGTCATTCGCCTGTAGTTTAACGCCTTTTGTCCGTACTCCTTTATTAATATTAGTACTAAATTGGTTATCTTCCAACTCTCTGGTAGTCCTCCTGTTCCCAGTGACGATATATCACAGTGAGCATCCAGCACGGGAGTTCAGTTGCCTCTCTTAGTAACCTTATTGAAATTAAGAAACTGTCTCATCCCACAACACCTTGCATACACTAAATCCCACATATACCCTGCACTCCCCCACACCCTACACACCCTTAATCCCCCACCCCCCACACGTTCTGAATACGCTGAGAAAGTGTGAGGAAGGAGGAGGGCGGACTTAAAATCTAGATGAATACAACTACGGGAATACACACAAACACACACACACGCACGCACGCACGCACGCATGCACGCACACGCACACACACACACACACACACACACACACACACACACACACACACACACACACACACACACACTCACGCTATAATCACGGGTCACCCTTCCCTGCGTCACCCAGACCTTCGCTGGAGGGAGGAGCATCAAAATTCCCTTTCACACAAGAAGGAAAAAATGTATCATTGCACAAAATAGATTTGAACCCTGAAACTGACCACCCTCTTTTGTTTCAGGTTCCCTTTCTCCTCCTAACCCCCAGTTGTACTACTGTCAGTCCTATTGCCAGAACGTCTTCGTCATCATGAAGATTTTAGTCCAGCGTTTAATCTAATTAAAAAAAATACCAATCCGAGTTTTGTTTTTTGTAAAAGCTTTGCTATCAGGATGAACTTTTACAGAGACAAAGAGAAGCCTCAACTGGCTCATCTGTGATGGGGTGAACAGGGTAAGGGGAGGGGGGGGGGAGAGGGTTGCTCCACTGACACACTAACTGATGAATGGTTTAGGGGAGGGGGGGGTGATGATAGGGGTGTGATTTCCATTATATTAGCGAGCAAGGTTTTCTGGGTAAGTAGGTGAGTAGGTGGGTTGCAGAGTAGATGAGTGGGTTAGAGCAGGTGGGCGGGTGGGTGAGTGTGGGTGGGGCATTGTTATGAACATGAATTGCACATACGTCGAAATATCTGCTGATTATTTAACGACTATTATAAGGTAATTGCTCGAATATATATATTTCAAAGGCCATTCATATATATATCTTGAAAAATACGCATTAACATAGGATTCACAACATTTTACTAGTCGTCGCACGTGTTTAATAATTTGGCATTATTTTCAAGAATTTTTGATGCAGTTGATAATGTAAAAGACTACGACCGTTTATACCTTGACTTTAACAAATGGCTTAAAGCTTACAATATGAAGTTTTGGTACTCATTCTTGGAGTCCCAAAGATGCCAAATCATCTCATTTACGAGAAGCGGAATATGTCTTGTCAGCGTTATAAGCACGGTTAAGGAACAGAATGATAAGCTGGCTTTTAAGATAGAGACACCTTTTACAATGATACCGAGTTATGTGCTAATTACAGGAGGAGACATTAATTGCACAAAAGTGCCGACACCTGTCAGTTTGCTACCTCCAAAAACTCCAGGAATCCCTCAAGAAGCCTGCGAACTCATTCCCAAGGAGATGTCTCCTCCTTATAATAATAATAATAATAATAATAATAATAATAATAATAATAATAACAATATTAATAATGATAAAAATAATAATTGTATTCACAATAAGGAACAATGGGATTGTGAGATTACATAAGATTAGTATTTTACATTCTTGCAAAGCCACTAACACGCACAGCGTTTCGGGCAGTTCATCCACCCTTGGATGGATGAACCATAAAATATTATAATAAACAAGATGACGAAAAAATCTAACATGATAATTATGTCTCATCTATTGCAGTATCTCAATTAAATTAATACAGAAACGGGAAATTAGACCCAATCTACGCTTTATCTGTTCTAACCCTTCCAACGGCACGGCTGCAAC